GTTACCCGGCCGAACTGACCGGTTCTCAGAATTCGTGTCAGTTAAATATTCGCCGTATATCGATTGTGTGTAATAATGTGTATGCGATTTCTACCATACTACTGCTTTATTATATTTATGTTTTTATATTTATATATTTATATGTTGCCTGACCCTACCTGTAATTCAGAGAAATCTGGGAATGGTGGAAATAAACAAATATTATTGTTATTATTATTATTATTATTATTATTATTATTATTATTATTATTATTATTATTATTATAACTTCGGCTGTATTTTTAGGACGCGGAAGATGGGAAATAGCTAAATTATCGGAATAAATTAGCATACTTTTAATCATTAAAGTCATTTTTCAAGCCACCTTGCAACAACGCCGGTGTCGGTGGTAAACTTCCTGAACTATTTATTCCGAACCTACCCCTAAAAGCTTTCATATTCTCTTCGCTCTCCTTTTAAACGGTGTTTTTGAATTTTTGCGTTTCCTAAATGAAAACTAAAATTAAATCACTTAGTTGCACGAATACTATAAGTATAACTGCTCTCAAATACTGTAGTAAGTTTGAAGGCCAGTACTCTTGCAGCCACCATCAGTATTCCCGCCAAAATTAGCACTCGCTTGCTCCCAACCTAAAGAAGGGTCATGTTGAATAAGGGACGATCCTTACTAGCATTTTTTTTTGCTTGCTTCAGTTGTAAAACTTTTTTCGTGCAATTTCTGTTGTTTTGGTTACCAGCTTTAACGGTTCTGAAGAAATTAAACTGACGCTAACGGGCTAAGGGCAATTCCACGTCGAGGTCGTTAGTGAGTTATTAGTTTCCATACTCCATACCCGTCAGCTAGTTTTAGCGTGCCGAGATACAAAATCAACTTCTGTTGCCTGTGATGAAAACCCTATCCACTGTTTTAGCCAATCCTCGGCGACCTGGTTAGGGTTATTTCAAATGAAGCAGGAAAATAAAGGGTGAATTATTGCTAAGTTTACAACTGAATAGAAGGGCTCTTTGGACACTTTTCTTACATCGCGCTCTTCTCATAATTTTATAGATGTTTGACTGAAACAAATTCCCGCCCTAACGGACTCTTGCTAATGAGGACAGTAACTCAAGGTCCCTATAGTGTCCGCTATAAAGAGAGTTGACTGTAGAACTGAAAGAAAGTAACTTCTTTTCACTCCTCATAACCTCAAAGTGGTAACATTGCATACGCAGAACTTGGAGTTCTTTTTCTTTCAAAAATATTTTTCTTTTAGATCAGTCGATGAATGACTGTTCTAGCTTTGTTCTCTTGATTCTTGAGGGAATTTGGGAGCTCTGTTTCTTTTAATTTTATTTCTTGAAAAAAAAAGAGTCAACTTTACTTATACAGAAAGCGTAGAGAATATATCATTTTTAATGAATTAGTTACAAAGTAAAAGGAATTTAAGGAAACGAAGTCTGGGATCTTTTCGTACGTAGTCTTTCTCCATGTCTTTAGCCTGTTTTTGTATTTGCGTGCGACGTGCAAGTCCTTTGGTGACAGTAGAACTTCCCCAATATTTTAATTGACTGCCTTTCTTTATAGTAGAGCCTCTTAGTAAACCTTTCATAAAGGTTATTATCGGATTATATTTTTAGAAATTATTTGGAAAAGCTCATATTAATGTCTTGACTGTTAATCTTTGTCTGCATGGAGGTCTTCTTCCAAGCTATTTTTTTCAATTCACGTGTAAATTAAACAAGGTGTTTGTCGAAATAAGGTCTCCTGGTGGAAATATATTCAGGTTGAAACGTGCTGCCTTGAATGCCTTTCAAAATACAACGGACATTGGAATTATCGTCCAACCAATTCTACAACCTCGGACAAAACCTGTTGAGAAACAACCCCGTTCCCCTTAATCACGAAAATTATACACGTTGGTTTTTAATTAACCCTCTCATAGAAGAAGATTTTGAAAAAAAACACTCAAGCCGGAAATTTAACCACAAATCAGCTATTGAAAGGGTTTTTGTATGTTTTGTTTTCCCAATAAATTAAGTTCTCAGGGAAATTTGCCCTTTTTTTTTGTTTTTTTTTTTGTTTTTGTTTTTGTTTTTTTTTTCATAAATTATGCGTACATGACTCGTGAATATTAGACAAAATTTGGAAGAAAGAGTTCTTTGGAGTATTAACACATAACCGACATGGCCTATACAAAAACTTACAAACTCAGTAAAGAGGTCTATTGACGTTTTTTCTCCCAACATCGTGCGAAACAAAGCGAAAAGGGCGGAACCGGATGAAAGCATGTCTTGAAAGCGAGCTCTTCCCCCGGGGCGGAACTCAACGAAATTTTACAAGCCGCCCGGCTGAAGGTTTAACCCCCGGTACCAATTTTATGTGCCATTTTTGAAAGAAAAGGTATCCCTTTTACGTACCAAGTTTAGAACATTCCATTCCTTTTAACTGCTGTATATGCACTGCCTGTTACATCTGAATGAATCACTAAACCTGGAAGATTTCCTGTCTCTTTCACATCTAAAAAATGCGTCTGTTGGCCCTTTCTGGTCCTTCAATTATCAGGACCGAAATGACAGATTCCCTACCCTTTCATATGCTTCAAATAATGAAATCCCTATATTCCTGAAGCCTGTGAAAGGTACCCCTTTCATGCGTTCCTCCCCCCAGTGTTCTGCTCAAAGAAACCATCTTGTACAGCAAGAAACACGGGACAGAATGGTTGATATACAGCTTAGTTTCATCCTGCAAAAATAACTGCAAGATATATGTCAATTAGATACCTTATTTGCTCAAAAAATAGCCGTCCCTCGATTAATCGCCTCCCTCGAATAGTAATCGCCTCACAGCCTCCGCTCCTCTCGTCATCTTTCTTCCTTTTATGCCCTCCCTGTCAAGTGTTACTGGAATCTGATCCAGTACTGAAAGTGATCAGTGAAGATTCAAGCCGTGGAAATTAATCAAGGAACTAAATTTGGAACACTTAAAAAACCCATGTTCAGTTTACTTGATATGATTATTTTTTTATTTAATGGCGTAATCAACAAAATATTTAGGGCACGACTTCCAGTAAGCGATATTTGAAATAATCGCCTCCCTCAAATAATCGCTTCCCTCGAACAATCAACCCCTTTATGTGCGAAAAAAGAAAGAATCGCCTCCGGCAAGAGCCATCATTATTCGAGGAAATTCGGCACTTAGGAATAGTCAGATTATATCCGTAGTATTTCATCCTCGATCTGTTATGCTTAGAGTGAGAAGTTAATGCGCTTGTGTTTATTTCCACATCGCTTCCTCCTTGAGAGCGGTTTTCCTGTTTTGCGGCTTTAAAAGAAGAATCAGAAGGTGGTAATTGGCGTTTATTCCTTCTTTCTCTAAGAGGGCGGTAAGTCTTGCTAACTCTACTTACTTAATCCGTTTTGTAAATTGAGTATAAGAATGTAGCAGTGTTCGTCATTCCTCCACTTGGTTGTTTTATTTGTTTTTGCCAAGAACATTCCAGCCATTTAGACAAATTACAAAACGAAAACAAGAAATACTGACTGGAAAAAGTAAGTTGTTACAGAACGTTTTTTAAGCATTAGTATCACGAAAAACAACGAAACCAGACAAGCAGGACCAAGTTATACAAATTTCCGCTTTCACGTTTTTTAACTTTTCTTGAAGCGCCACCATTCAGGGGCACCCAACGTTAATTTTCGAAAAATGTCTGTTCGGAACACGATTTGAGATCTAGAATTTTCGGAACATTTGTAGCCTGCCAAAACATCCGTTTCCCCTCGCTCTTGGCCGCTGGGGGCGTTTCGCGCGAAACTTCCCCAGCGGCGAAGAGCGAGGAGAAATGGATGTTTTCGCAGGCTAGAATTTCTTGCTTGCCTGCCTCTCCTTGGATTTTCGAACATCTAAAAAATGGTATAACTGCCCATTTTTAACGGATTTTTTACCCTAAAAAGGTCACCTAGAAAATTTTCGACAAGGTAAGTTTGGATCCCTATAATTTTCGGATCACTAGAATTTCAGCTACGAAATCCGACCAGGTGAAAAATTTATAGCGGATAAAAATATGGATATATCTACTGTTTAAATATTAAAATACGTTTAACAATGCTACGTTTAAGCGGTTTTGAACTTTATTCTCGTTGGGTGCCCCTGACCATTGCATAGTTACGTGGTTGGTGCAGTACTTAATTTCTCTTATCGGGGTGTCTTTGAGTGAGCACATGGAAGTTCTTCAGATGCAGAGATAACTTGAGAGGATGTTATTTAACAAATAAGGAACTGTTGACTGTGCTCTGTCCTGTTGCCGTAAGTGTACCCAGGATAGCAAGAAGTGTAGGCAGCTGTGTAGGGGGAAACGCGACACGTAGTCGAGTGTTTCTCCTCAGTACTTCTTGAGTGCTCTAGGCGCTTCCTAAAAGCTTTGCAATAGAAGAGCGCACAGTCAAGGCTTCTGTATTTTTTTTTACGATAAAGAACCCGTTAAATTCCTCACGCATTACTTTTGAATATTCAAAACAAACCTTAATTTCAAAGCCAACGATTGAGTGACTGCAGCTTTAGCTGCGTGTTTTAAACTCCCATAACGCGCAGATGTCACGCAAAATTGCAATTTTTGTACTTATGCAAAAGATCAGCACCATAGACCAATTTTTTATGCCGAACTTAGTGAAATTGTGAAGTTCCATAAGGATTCGTCGCAAAGTAACAGTCGACAAAGTTTTTTGCGGGAAAAGTATGACGTGGGTGTAAGATCAACAATGCCGTTTCCTGGCATACAGATCGTGGGGACGGCTCAAAGAGATATGTGAGCAGCAAAAAAAAAAACAACCAGAGGGTGGGTTTATCCCGGGGGGGGGGGGGTTATCAATCCCTAATGTGCAGCCAATCAGGGTACGCGACATTTTATTATAAATAAAGGGACAATAAACTGTTTGGTTTTGTCGCAGCTCAGCATCCTACGCTTTTAGTTTTACAGGAATTCCAACTGGGAACTTATCGACAGTCGCCACCAACAAGTTATTAATTCTCAAACATGAAGAGACAGGCTTTCCTGGGAAGACATTTTCAGTTTTGCTCCATGAAATTCATGCTGTTCTTTTTTCTGTCAAGTCTTGTTATCCAAGGTAGGTCATAGAAGTCTTAATCAGGAGAAATCGGCTCCTGCATTAACATATTTTAATATGCGTCATGATATACCGGAGCCGAGAAGTAAGTTAAGAAGTATGAGTTTATCAGTTTTGTGGTTTGCTCTGTATTCGCCAGTATAATTTTAGTTTCATGGAGTTGAAACAACGAATTCCTGACCCTATTTCCTTGCTTTTTGCCCATGAAAAGGCCAGTCTGTGTTAGCCTTAGGGCCTGGAAAAAGTGGCAAAGAATCCATAAATCTGGTAAAAATTGTAAGTGCATTTTCCGGAGTAATACAATTGTTATTGTTAACATGTCACAGGCTTTTACTTATAAAAAAACTGTAAAAGTTAATGAATTAAAAAAGAATTGTTGAAACTCTGTATGCCGGGTCTTTCAGACGAAATCAAAGTTGCTAACCTGACGATTTGTTGTGAAACGCGCGACGAAGCTGACGTCCGCTACTATCCATGGTCAAGACATTTATGATCTACTTTATTTTGCCTACTGAAGAGGAGAACAAATACAATTTTTGAAAAAGGTCAACAAAGAACCAGATTTTAAGATACACTACATAAGTTTTGTCTGTAAGGAACGATGTTTGGATTTTGGGCTTGGCTGTGTGAATTTTTGTTCGCTAACAGAAACTGAACACGTATGCTCAATTAAGCCCTTCGAGCCCAGACAAGTTATCGGGGGACGATTCTATCACTTTAAATTAAAATCTGTGGACCAAATTCTATGATGTTACCAATATGAACTGTCTTCTTTGACATAACGTTTGCATGGTGACGTAAATCAATTTTCTTGGGAGTTTAAAAATTTTTTTCATATTCGATTTTCCACTATTCATTTGGAATGAAGAGATAATTTGAGTTGTAAATTGTAGGAAGTTTTACTGTCGATCGAAGTGATTGCATAAAAGATATCAGACAGTACGGTATTGCAGCTATGTAGAGTTTTGCAACATATGCTTTTATAGATCGTTCTGGATCAAATAGGCCCACGTGTGCGACATGCACAACAATTTCGCAAGACTCCTTTGTGAGATATTTTCTTATCTTTGATAAGTTCCTAAGACGATAAAACTTTACAAGGCGAAGATAAAAGTAACAGAAGATGACGAGAGGAGCATTCAAACATAGCATTGTTAAACGTATTTCAGTACTTAAAAGGTAGATATAGGCATATTTTATCCCTTAAAATTTTTTCATCTGTTCGGATTTTCTAGCTGAAAGTCTAGTGATCCGAAATTATAGCGATCAAAACTTACCATTTTAGGTGACCTTTTTAAGATACAAATCCGTTAAAAATGGGCAATTATACCATCTTTTAGATGTTCGAAAATCCTAGGAGAGGCAGGCAAGCAAGAAATTTTACAAGAAATGTTCCGAAAATTCTAGATCTCAAATCGTCTTCCGAACAGATATATTCTCCAAAAATTGACATTGGGTGCCCCTGATATGCACGTGATAGACAGTATCAGCAACGGTTGTTTTTGCTCCCACCGGGGAGCTCGTATTAGGACGCCAAAACATGCACAGCCATGGGTATTTTTCACTCCATGCGCATACCAAGTGGTAATTAACATATTATATTAAATTTTTCCGAGCTCAAATTTCAGCAATTTTTGAGGATTTTTTTAAGATCTGCATAAAAGGTTTCCGTGCAGAGAAACCTTGCAGAGATGTTATCCCCAAAAAGTAAAATATAACTCCACAGTCAAAATTATAATATAGTTTTGCTAATAAATCGCAAGAGTATAATAACCGCACGCACGAGGTACCCTAGCCCCCACCTCCTCAAATGATAGATATTCTAGGCAATATTCGCTTCTCACGAAACAGATGTTTTATAGGAAACAGTCGTTGAGTACCCCTAACTCGGTGGGGGGTTTATGTCTTGGTTTCACTAAACCTACACGCGGTTGCTATCGCCAAGAAGCTACAAACCAATCAAAAACTAAAAACACTGGTTTGACGGCAAACCCAAACAAAGACTTAAAAAGAACTTAAATAGCCAAGGTCAGCAAAGTGTAAGTCAAACATTTTGCAAGGCCAAAGTAACAAGAATGCTCAAAATACACAGTACTGATTGGCGATGTAAGCATGAATTACGTACGAGAAAATCAAAGATTAAAACAGGAAAGCATGGATGAAATCTTGACAACCTTGACCGCTGATCGGCTCCTGCCCTGACCTGCTTGATGAAACAAGCACGAACTTAAAAAACCAACAACAACAAAAATAATTTTTTGATAACTCCCGTTGAGGCTTTGTGTTGGAGACCGAACTATCGGGCAAATACACTTTACCATTTGAATTTTCTTTATATATCTTCTTCTATAACTCTTCTTGCTGTAAGGATCAGTTTACTGCAGTTTTTCTACTTGGGAAGTGTTCACTGATCCAGTTCACCCCGCCAACATCCGGCCGGCTGTCCTCACTCAGTGGTTTGATGCTGTGGTTTTGTCTACATACCGTTTTTATTCGAACAAGCGCCCAAACTCGAATTTGCGCCCACCTCGAATAAGCGCCCACCCCAACCCCACCCAAACCCCTCCTTCTGTACCTGCTTCTCGGGTGACTAACCCATTTACAAACGTTACGATTTCAGACATCGAGCTAGGAGGCAGCACCAGAGAATTCACTTACTGACTTGAGTAACGAGGGGACTGAAATTAGAATTGAATTAGTACCAATAGGGGACTTTCCCGAAGTTGGAGTTTTCTTCAGCGTATTTTAAGGAAACCTTGTTTGTTTATATACATCTTCGCGTTGTGTTTCAAAATAAACATGCTACACTTGCTGAAAATGGTAAAAATTTAATAAGCGTACGGCCTCGAATAAGAGCCCACTCTCAAAGTCCAAAAATTTAATAAGCGTACAGGGCAGTTAATCGAATAAATACGGTAATTGTTTATGAGGATCTACAGCAATGAAGTGAATAACCGTTTTAAAAAAATGCGATAAAATCTGTTAGACTTCAAAAAAGCTATCTGCCTTGTTGATCAGTTGGAAAAAATACTTCTATCAAGAAATTCTCCTCAAAAGATTCGTCCACAAGTAGACCACTTTTAAACACCTATCCCGCCTCATTGGGCCCTGACAATTAATTCAGGAATGTTCTGCCAGCATAAGTGGACTTTAGTTGGCCCTAATCAGTAATCCTAAACAAAAAGAGCTAACAGAAAGCTTCAGTGCATTCCATTTAAATAAATGGTCCGAGCAAATAGTAACTAAATAGTACCATGTGAAAGAGATGCTGAGGAGGTTTTATTTGAATGGTTACACCATGGCGACACCATCCATAACCTGCAGGGTCTGACTCAAAAGTTAGAGCTGCATACTAAAATAAATAGAACCATGTGAAAGTCGCTAAAGAGCTTTTTCAATTGAATGGTAACACCATAGGATTTCATCCACAGTCAAAAGTTAGAACTGCATACTAAATAGATAGTACCATGTGGAAATACTGCTGAAGAGGCTTCATTTGAATGGTTACACCATAGGATTTCATCCACAAACTCAAAAGTTAGAACTACATACTAAATAATATAAATAGTACCATGTGAAAGTACTGCTGCTGTCAGTTAATATTCTGCAAAGAAATGTTTTAACGCTTTTTTATCAACAGACGTCTTGCCTGCAAGCATCAAGAGTTGTGAACTACGAGCTTCCTGCTCAAGTGAGTGTCAAGACTCCACTCAGAAGACAGTCACGGTGAATCCGAGCTCTAACGCAACTGTAGGGTGCTCGATCATGAATAAAGGATCAACACAAGACTTGACCTGGGAACAAGTTAGACGAAAGATTCATGGCAGCAACAATGTGTATGATCTGGTTCTACAGCAGCAGCAGAATCCACATTGTTCGTGCACTCAGATAACCCTCGCTCGTAAGTACAACTTTCTCATTCGTGCCTGACGCAGAAATCCTTGTCTAACGGCAGCCATTTATGACAGGAGTGGTATAGGAATGTTTTAGGCCTTTTGTGAGGTAGCCTCCCACGCAGGCGTTTTATTTGTGAGGGGGAATCTCATTACATTAACTCTGATGACGTCATAGAGTTTTGTCTTTATATCTGATGAGTAAAATGTACAGGAATCTCATCATCTGCCATCCCTTTTGGGAAATCGGAAAAAGGATTTGACAGGAGTCCCTGGATTTGATTAACGGTTCTTTTAAGAAGAACAGCGGACTTGAACGCGCACGCATAATTAGCAAAAGGAAGACCACTGTTCACGAAAATAGTTTTGCAAATCCTTTTTCGGGTTCAGTCCCAATCTCTCGGAGCAGCTAACCAGAACAAAGGATTTTGCTCATCTTGGCTGGTCGCATAGCCGGTCTTATGACTGACACCCTGAGCGGATAGAGAAAAAAAAATGCGCGAAAACCGTGTGGGGGCTGTTGAGAAACGAGAGAGCGGGTAAGCGGCGAAATAGTGAGTCCCGTCCCTCTCCAGCCCCCAACCAATTTTATTCGATTCGCTTTCCCCACTATCTAGGAGCCTGGAACAGGCTAGTGCCTGTCAGTCACATACATGTCAACTCTCCCGGCTCCCGGTCTTCCGTACAGGTCACCAAATCTCCTGGATAAAATCGAGTTATGAGCTTTTCTGTACTTTAATTATGAATTTATCCCATTTTCTTCCAAAATTCAAATTTTCTCTGATTCTTAATTCGGTTTCTTGGGTATTTCTGTGCGTATTTCATCAGTGACAAAGACTATTTCGCCATTACAATCATGTCCATACTTCATGTAAGACTTAATATAATGTCTTAAGCCATTCCCGTGTGATAAGTTGGGGATTGGATCGAATTATGCTTATGAGGGGCTCGGGGTCGGGAGGGGGGTGGTGAGGTGTGTTGTTGATATTCAGGGTGGGGGGGGGGGTAATGCAAAAGAGAGAGTGTCCAGAGGTTGGCATCTCTGCAGGCATCAAGTGTGAATATATTCCATTTCCCTCAGGTCCAGTTCAGAGAGTTTTCAAGCCCAGTTCCCCAGTTTGGTTTAACGAGAAAATTAAGTTAAACTGTACCTTCAAGGGATGGCCTCGTCCTACTGTAGTTTGGATCAACCCACATGGTAACAAAATCAAAAGTGGATCTGACGGTTTTGAAATCTACGAGGAACTAATCGGAGACGACACGTTAAGTTCAGTTCTTAAGAATCCTCACATGCAAGAAAAACAACGCGGCGAATATTGGTGCACTGCAGAGAACAGCATTGATGGCTGGTCAAGTAAATTGTCTAAGGTTACTGACCTGATATACGAATGTAAGTAGCCTTAGTTGATACTTAAAGGGGAAATATGTCTCGAGGATATTGTTTTAGATCAATTCTGCAGCAATGAAGTCAATTCTTAGTGCCTTTAACCATACACAAAATGCTGCGGTAGAGATATGAAGAAGATCCCGGGGGGGGGAGACTCCGCATATGAAAGGGGTGGGGATGCTCGTCGGAAATTTTGAAGTAAACCCCTAAAGGAGACCGATCTGGGCGTGGCCCAAGCTTTTTTTGACCCCTAAAAGAGACCATGTTGAAACACAGACAATATATATATTTTTATATTTTTTCACGTGCAACCCTAAACGAGACCTTCACGGCTAAATATGATGGCGTTTTGCCCAGAACACCCTGAATGAGACCAAAATCCGAACTTTACACCCCTAAGCGAGACGACGAGCATCCCCAGCCCTTATCTCAAGAATGTGATGTTTATCTGGGAAGTTTGATAGTTTAACAGTATCTTCGTCTTTTTAATACGTTCAGGAATTTGGCACCGAGAAAAGCTTCCGTAAAGAAGGGTTGACGATAAATGGGAGTTGATGACTCGGGACAAAAGAAAATGTCCGTTGTCGCTATTAACCGGTTTCCGCATTATGGGAGTTAATTTTAGAGAAAATGATGCAGAAGGCCTAAACGCAAGAAAGGACCGAACTTACGCGAATTAGCCCCGCAGCACTTATTAACTTTTTACTCCAAAAATGCGGCGTTCATTTGAGGATGATGCTAAATACTATGGTAATACCGCTTAGTAACGTATTTACGCAAATAAGCCCCGCGGTGCTTATTAATTTTTCTCGCGCTTATTCGAGTAATCGCTGTAATTGTTTACTTAAGAGTCAAGTTACATTTAGGGCAAATTGATATAACATTTAGGACTTAATTACATTTAAGAATAAATGTTACTACATTTGGGGTCGTTCAGTACAATAAGCTTTTGGTCAAGACAAACTTGAAAACTGTCCGTTATACACCGGTCGCCGTAGAGTGGGTTTCCACTGTAATTTATGCTACTTTGTGCAATATTTTTTTAGCTGTCGCTTATTCAATCAATCCATAGATCAATAGACTTTATTTTAAGAGGGGAGCACGTGACAGTAGTGAAAGTGATGACCTTGTGGCCCTCTATAGAATAAAACTTAACACATAAAAATTAGCAATGACTTACACTAGAAATATTATAACATGCAAAACGAAATAGAAATATCTATTAATTGGACATCTTTCTATATATCCAATACTATCAATACTATCATAAAATTAAGCAACAGACCACACTTTCTATGGGTTTACCGGTGTGATAACTCACGCGGGATGTTGGGAGATCACGAGAAAAGCTTGTAAATCACAAGCTGAAGGCGAGTGATTTACAAGCTTTTCGAGGGTTCTCCTAACATTCCCAATGGATTATCACGCCCCCTTAACCCATAGAAAGTGCCGTCTATTGCTTTTATAAAATAACTTTAAGTTTTCTATGAGTTTACCGGCACAATAAACCATAGGTTTTTAACCAATCAGAACGCGCGTACTATCTCAGTTATTTCATAATGAGTTATTTGTAAGTGATCATGAGTTATTCAATGCTTATTATATTTGGCTCATTATTCCAAACAGGTCCGTGGCCCATAAACCCAAAGGTTTCTTCTTCCGAAGTTACGGCAGATGCGTCTTCCAACAAGAGCTTCAAATGCATGATTTACGTGGACCCGGACTATTGTGCGGATGTACTAGAGCTACAGTGGCGATTCAACGACAGTTCAGCGCCAATAAAAAGCGGGAAAAAGTATAAAATACAAGAGAAGAATACCAACAGCAAGTGCAAAAAAGAGTTTACCCTGACTATTAACGACGTCACTGTGGAGGACAAGGGAAATTATAGCTGTCAATCAATTTGCTACGAAGAAACCACATTCGCTGTATTTGAGTTAAAAGTAAAAGGTGAGACATTAAGCAAATTCTTAACTAACCAAGCGCCCTCATTTGCTTATTGAAGTCATGTGCCATCTTTGAATGAGGCTGTTTCCCGCCATAAGTCTTCTAGCAGGCAATTCGTCCCAAGTAAGGCAATCCAAGACAATCTTGGCTTATAGATTCCACACCATGGATTCCGGATATCAGGTACTGGATTTGCCTGAGAACTTGTACTCCAGATTCCAATCGATCGTGGGATTCCAGATTCCTTTAGCTGTATTCCGGATTCCACAATCTGGGATTCCTGATTTTACCAGCTAAAATTTTCCGGATTCCGAATTCCACAAGCAAACATTTCCCAGATTCCGAAATCTGAATTCCCTTATATAGGGCGATTAAGCAATTTAAAATATGTGACGTCACGGGAAACGTCCATTTAATTTCTGTTAACGTTAATTTCCGCGCCGTTACATGTAATTTACTGTAGCGTCAATTTCCATTATTTTGACCCCAATCTCTCAATACCTTCTGGAATTCTTGACAACTGAAAAAGAGGAGTACTTCTTGTTAGGAAAAGGTTCCGCCAGTAACAGTTAAACTGTGCAGAACTTGAAGTGGCCAGATTTCTTCCCTTACTCCCTTCGTACGTGTAAGGAAAGAACCAACAACTTAAGTTTAACTAATTGTTCCTGATGTCTCAACAAGTTTTGTTTCTTTGTGAACGTCGCGTTAATTTCCTTCATTTTGAAATGCTATTTTCTCTTTCGCGTTCATTTCTTTCATTGGGAAGCCGTTTTCTACTAAATTCGCGTTAATTTCCAATACCCTAATTTCATGGAGCGTTAATTTCCTATAATGTAAGGTATATTGTTCGGTTATGATCGCCAGGGGGAGGAATTTACAGCTGATTTCAGTGCTGTGTATACACCCTGATTTTTAGACATGATTCGACGGTCATGATTCGACCGTCATGATTCGACCGAGAGGTTACCGACCAATACAGTATTATACCTTGAATATCCTACAAGAATCGAAGCACACAATCTGAAAGTTACTTTAACGATAGCTTGAATGTTTCTCTTGTAATTCAGAAAAAGAGGACTGTGATCCATAATTTGTTCTCCTTTTCAGACGACGGCCTCTCATACAAGTCACGCAATCTAATCGCAATACATGTTATCGGTTGTGTGGACGACTTATTCAATAAGTTTTTCGGCTCTTTTCTCAACATTTTTTGGGCTTCTACCTTGATCTTTAAAGAAATATCATATTTTACCCTTTTTTAATAAAAACAAATGGTCGACAAAACAAAACTTTCAAACTCTCCAGCAAATTCTTTCACAACGGCAGACTGATCAATTTATCTGTCGATTTTTTCTGCAAAAGTCAAGTTTTCCTGTCATTTTTTAACCATGAAGAAGCTAAGTAAGGACGAAAAAGTACCAACTTAAAGAAATACAAATTTGCCTCCCTGTTAACTAAATTTGCGTCACTTTTACATGTATTTTGCGGGTGGTATTCACCGACGGCAAAATACCGAAACCTTGTCATACGGAAGAAGACTAAACGATAAACCATCCGACTATTTCGCTTTTCGCCGTATTGATAATATTTCGTCCATTATTAAATCGCCTACAGAGATACATTCGAACTGGGCAATCGAACTCCAGGTTTATCACCGGATCAGATCGTAATTTCAGTATCATGTCGCCGCTTCCCAGGCAAGAAAGCTTTCCTCTTCAGGTAAAACGCATTTGTGGGGATTCTAGCTTCGTTACACTATGTCCTTTAGTGCTAAGCTTAATTTCCTTGCCAGCCAGATTTTTCTCTCACTGTTTTGGATCCCACGGCAGAACTCTCAATTACTGTACTTTTGCAACCGTTTACGTACTGCGAAGCGATACGTCACGTGATTAGTGTCGAATCATGACCGTCGAATCATGTCTGAGAATCCGGGTAATTGATTACTCATTACATTAAACGGGGATGGCAAAGTTGCTCTGTGGAAGATGATGGATTGGAATTAAGCATGAAAGTATACCATCAGTATACCATCTGCATGCAGTCTAAGAGAAATCGTAGTACTTAAAAAAATGACGTCCTTTATAATAATACAGTCAACTCTTTTTAAGACGGACACCTTGGAGACCTACAGTAAGTGTCCGTCTTAGAGAGATTTCCGTCTTATAAAGAGTCAAATAAAGGAAGTAAAGAAAGGCAGAGACCAACTCTAAGTGTCCGTTTTACAGAGGTGTCCGTCTTATAGAGGTGTCCGTTAAGAGAGAGTAGACTGTTTATTCCAAAGAAGTGGGCCTATAATGGAACCCCGGGGAACACCTTCCTTTACAAATTTTCAGTCTGATCAGTTACGATCAATCTTGACATATTGCACGACGTTGAAAAGCGAACGTTTATTTTTACACTAGAACTCTTTGGGTTGTATTATAAGTAACTGGTCCAACGAGAAACCAATTTAGTTTTTGTCATTGATTTCAATGCCTACAGTTGCAGAGTTGCGAGGAACATAGACTTATTAAAGACCATTGTGAACTCACAAATAAAATTGGAATGTTAGAATGAGGAGCAATGAGAGTCGGATGTACTCGCAAGCTACCGGTTTCGCGTTAGTTACGCGAAGGCCATTTTCCTCTTTCGCCCGTTAGGTAAACAGAGGGTACGCACGTGGCCTGTCTTATCATAATTTGCTAACTAACTAGGGGACTCAACAGGTTTACTGTACACAAAATCTCAGAAATCTCTGGCACACAAACTGACTCTTACACTGATTTATTTTTTTCAGGTGCTGAGGAGATCTCGATTAACGCTGTTTAGGCAGAATTTTCACAGTTTATGAAACACCAGGGGCTCATTTCTGTTAAGTACCGATAATAAACGGGCCCGGGAAACAGTTGTTATGAACAGTTAAGGTCGAGGTTTCATGAGTTTTCGCTTTTTAGTGTTCTTTACATTTTCATTTGAAAATGGTTTATTTGGTTTCGGGCCTGAAATGTTACCGGGAATTTTGAGAAAGGGGCCAAAGAAGAGAAGAGTTAGGGAATAGTTTTCTTCAGTGGGAAGTTTTCTTTTGATTCATCTAATAATGTTTTGGCTGTTAGTTTGATTGTTTTACACAAATAGTACAACTATAAAAAGTTGTTAAAAGCTTATCTTCTTATTGTTGTTTGACAATAAATTTTACTGTGGGTTGAAACATTCACTCTCTTTGTCTTTCGCAACCACGCGCGCAGAGGTCACACTCAAGTAGATTAAGGCCTCGGTCTAAGTCAGTTGTAGTTTTTATGCACATATTCCAAAAAAACATTGTTAAAGACAACAACAATAATAATAACAAAATCAACAATCCCAGGAAGAAAAATTCCCAGCATGCACTGTGTAAAACTGAAAAGGTATTCAACAACAGAGCAGCATTAAAGAAAGTATTCCGGCTTTAATATTCATGTAATATCCATTGCAAAAAAAACACAAACAAACAAATAATCAAACACTAAAGTAAAGAAAATAATATACAAAATATTTCATTCAGACATTCATGAGGCTAACTACAATACCTATAAAAACAATCACTAGATATGGTTATTCTTCCATACACAATGTGTTTTGAATTCTTACGGAAGTGCAGCCAAATCCCTATTAAGCAGTCAACCTCCTATGTTTGGCGGTCACCTGCGAGAGTCGGTACTTCCCGAGAGTGACATCTTAGTAGAAGTTTGACTGTACATTGTAATTCAAAAATGGAACCAATCGAAAAACACACGCATCACCGCCAACTCTCGAATCCGACGACCAGGACCACTAGAGGGGTAATGTGATCGACTTAAATAACTGAGTCGACATTGTTAGCATTCTGCTTGATTTTTTAAGAACAAACCTGAATGTGAAGGTAATTTTTTGATTTCTTTGCTTCGCGTTTGGGTACAAAAATCTTGCGCCATTCTCTCAATGAATCAAACATAAAACCTCAAAACTTATCTCGATTTCTCATATGAGTGTTGCCACGCTATTGCCTTGATAAATATACGTAATATAAATACTAAGCTTTCCTCTCCCCTGTCGGGTAGGGAGATAATGAAACAAATGATTCAAAAAAATAAAATAAATAAAAACTTTCAAGGGTATTCCTTGGCTATAAGGAGATGTCACGATGGCGACGGCAACAAGAACGTCAAAAAAGCAATGCCGCGTGTTTCAGACTTTTTCATATACTTTACTTCTTTGCCGCCACTGCACGACCACAACGTGAAATTACCTAATTTGGACTAATTTTACGTTTTCTGCAGGACGCAAACAAATGAAGATGAATTTTTTTCTCGCTCTGAAGTTGGATATGGTTCTTAGGAATTCAAATCCTGAAGAGTTCGTCTACAATTGCAAAGTGAGAAGGCTAGGATAAATTCAATGAAGTTTGAAAAAACCCGAATTCTATATTATTTTTAAGTGAAGCTACGTTGCCGTCGTGGTATCTTAACCTCCATCAGTACCAGAGACTTTCAGGGTCTCTTTACATCACTCAGGGGGGACCTCAGCTAGGTGAGGTAACATGTGACGGCTCACCCCACCTACAAGTATCATGTAAACGTGATCAAAATAATATGAGAGATTATATGGACAAGCGGGTTACCCCACCTAAGCAGGTTACCTGACCTACCTGGGGTCCCCCAGCTCCATGTAAACAGGCCCTAAGATCCAACGACGCGATGGCAACGAGAACGTCCAAAAACGAAAAACAACTGGTTGAATAAGCGAAACGAAAACTTTGCACGTGTATCACACTTTTTTGTACATTTCTTCACCGCGACGACGTGAAAATGCCTAAATGTGCGTTTTATGGAGAACGTAAAAGAGCAACAGCGAAATTTATTTCTTTTTCTGGCCCCCGTTGTTCAAACGTTGGAAAGCGCTATCCACAGTATAAATCACTATTCAGCGGATAAGTATTGCGGAAACTAATTGCACTATTTCACTGGATAGAGATTTATCCGGTGGATAGCGCTATCCAGCCTTTAAACAACCGAGGCCTGAACATGGATTGGGTCCCTTGGAATTTAAATTGAAGAGGGCTAGCCAACATTTGACAAAGTAAGTGGGTGGGAATAATCGCGATAAAGACTGAAAGAACACAAGTTCACTTTTTAAGCGACGTTCTCGTTGCCGTCGCGTCGTTGAATCTTAAAGTCCCTATACCACTGAGGATTTGTTGGATGGAGAAGAAATAATTTCAGTAAAAATAGCATCACACCAAACCCCCACCCCAAAAAAGAATCTAACCTGTTTGGAAACAGTGCTTAACCCTATTCAGTAGTGCTTAACCCTAATCCGAAACGATAAGGAATACTACGTTGTGTAAACTTTATAAGGTGTCCAAGGGCCTTTCGACGGATGTTAAAAAGTGCTGACCCATTCAACGCCAGCGCCCTGCATCACTCGGCCACGCTGCGTCTTTACTCTGAGTATTCTGCTCTAACTAAAACGTGTCAGTTCCAAAAGTTATTTTATATATCCTACAAGTTAACGAATTTTTAAATTTAATTCTACGCTAATATCCTGCCAAATAATTCTTTTTTAGTGAGTTTGTAGTTGTTGGTTTTTGTATCACTAAGCTTATTTGCCATTAGCTCCGTTTTCGCCATTTTCTGCTCCACACAGGTGAACCACACTCCATTGTCACAAACGTTTCATCTGATTATTTCTCTAAATATCGTTACTGTTTGCTCGGATCGGCCACAGTAAAAACTGTTCTGATCACTACTTTATCTGTTAATACAGTAAATTTGTCCACCGAAAAAAGTTTTCGGTTACCTATGTTCAGGAAGGCGTCCTACAAACAATTGTCTTTCCCATTCCTGATGAACCATATTCCCACACTCAGGAGAACTTCCAAGATTTTCCCTTCATGGAAAGTTCCTGCCTTGCATCGTCTGCCAGAAAGCTGAAAAAGTAAGATATTTCAAAGACTGATAAAGATGAATCAATGTATGTAATGTCTCGAAAGTGTGATGATAAGTCACCGACTGCTGACGTACGGAAAAGACTTGGCGACTAGACCGTCGACTAAGTTTGGTTTCTACGAACTGAGGTACAAAATTAATTTATCAGAAACGTCAAATTTTCATACTTTTTACGGTGGGTAAGAGTACACCTGCATTCCCGTATTCAGCTGGGGGCTTGGGTTAACAAAATACAGCGGATTAGCATGAAATTTCCCATTCAGAAACTATAAAAGAAATAGGTACAAGCTTTCGGCGAGGCGATTTCTGGGATCTGATCGTCTGGGTGGACAAGCGTTATTTATGGATCGCTTTGAATACCATCGGACAATCATAACTAACGCCAACCAATTGCAAACGAACCCAGAAAACACTGCACCTAAAGCTTGTCCTCATTCTCCCTAGAGTTTCTAAGTGGGCATGCGCAATTTGTCCACGCAAACAAGCCTCGACCTCGTTTTGATTTTCTTGTGTGTACTCACTAGAGTAGTGTGGGGAATAAACCTGACACGTCTCAAGTCGTCTCTTATCATACACGAAAACAAGTAACAAGAAAGGGGAGGAAGAGAATACATGCTGCTACCCCCACCCACCTGTACCAGGAATAAGCCAATGGAGCGGTTCCGAGATGCCATAAAGAATGTGCGTCAAACGTCCATAGAATGGGTGGAAAATCACCTAGCTACAATAAAAAAAAGTTGATTCAGCTTTTGTTAAAAAAGTTAAGTTACACCGCTATAACGAATATATCGCGACACTACTCGTTTATACAAGCATTTTTTTAATTATTACTGCAACCAATTTTGGCACCAAGGCGGAAAAAAATACGCTAGTAAATTCGAACAAAATCAACGAAAGGACGATGAGGTCTACAACCAAAGATTTCTTGCAAAGAATAAGACGACCCTTAATGAATACTTGAAAAATTCAAGGAAAAAGCATCGGCTGAAAATTCATCAGAAATCTTATTACTCAACGTTTATCTAAGTATCATCTTAGAGAAGATTTAATCCTATCTTTACCTTTAATTGACCCTGTTAAATACGGTCTCAAACAACGGAGACACTTGCCGATAAGAAATGGAATGAACTGTCTATAAAACGATTTTTTTAAAGTTCAAAATAAAACGTAAATCAGATGGCTTAACTTTCGACTAACTAGAGATTAGTAGTTGTATTAAACTCGCACATTTTACTTTTTATAGAACGTTTCAAACTCTTGTTGTTTATACTTGTTACTTTGAACATATTCGATACTCAGTGACTAAGTAGAGCACCTATGAACTAGCTCGCTAGCCGGCAAGTGTACATTCCACATGAAATAAAGTACGCTATTCTTATGATTTTCCAAGAAGATCAAAAACTGCACCAACCTCAAGCGCTAAAAGACAAAATGTACTGAGCGTCACTGCAGCACATTTCCACACATATGGCTGCTGCTTGTAATTCTGCAAGTTGCGATGATAAGGAATGTAAACCTAACGTAGTACTTTGAAACACATGCAACTCTTTGAAAGCGAGTCTGTTGTTTATACTATATATTCCATATTCCGCCACTACTACGTGTTCGTCCGGGCCAATAAATGTCTATCGGTCTAAGAGGGCTAAGGCTGGGGCTTCTGCTTCGGTAATTTAAGCCGACTCCTACGAACAAACCCACAACTTTCTGGGAAGAAGACTTTTGAGGTCACGTGTCAGAGAGTAGTGCTTGCGAATTTGGCGCAGCAAAGCAGAAACACCTCTTGTAAAGCAAAGATATTCAAGTAAAATGAGAGTTTCTTGGAAGATTCAGCGCATTAAGCATTTGATCGTGGCGACCCTTCTTGTTTTTTTAATCATTTTTAAACAATAGATAAACAATGGATGAAAGAGTACAATTACCATATCAACCAATCAGAGCTTCTGACCAGATTCTAGGCTGACTAACGTCATCAGTATGGTATTTTGGGGGACATAACGCAGACGTCTCTCCCGCGAAACTCCTGACAAAGACGGGAAGCGATGAGAGACAGATGTTTTTGCAAACTAGTCTGAAGGGTTTACATATCCTTTGTTCTTATCACCACTATTGTGAGTTAAATTGACGGAGATAAAAAACAATAGTGATCGAAATACAGTCGAACCTTTCCTTAAGGTCTCCACTCTTTTTTTAGTTCTTATCGCACCCTGCTAGAAGAGCCTATCAATTTCTTGCTCAGTTTTGGCGTACTCGAGAGAGACTCTGCATGAATCGACTAAGATCTTTGTTGAGCATGCGTTTCATGTTGCTGGGATATAGTTTCGAACCCAGGCATAACAGCCGTGCGCTTGGTACAGTGGGCTCAGTTACATTGTATGACCATCGGTTCGTCAATGAACGGGTACTCGCACTAGGAAAAACCTAGCCTGCGTAGTAAACCTTTCCGCGAACCTATTTCGAGAGCAAAAAAATTGGGCAGGAGGAGGGGGGGAGAGAAAGAAGGTTTCCTTCTGTCCCCTCCCCTCCCCTCCCCGCTCTCGTTCCAGCGTTCGCGCATTAACTTGAGCGGAAACGTTTGCTACTCAGGCTAGGAAAAACCAGTTTGACAATAGAGAACAAGATTTATTAGCCCAGAGTGTGGGCTTCGGCGACTTGAAAGGCTTGACATGATTCAGGTAGAGCCTTCTTTTATCATCCTTAGTCAAGATGGCAGAAAGAGTCTCTGCTCACAAGGTGCCGGTTCTCATCGCTACAGAGAAACCAGATTTCATAAAGTTCCAAACTCTATGAAAAAGGCATCTCTGTAAAACGGACCCAGGCTGGTGTGTCCTTTGGTTTCCCAGTCAGTAGGAGGTTTGACTGTACAGAGTAAATGGAGAACAGCTCCTCTTGAGTTGTGATCAAAAGTTTAGCTTTGGACATGAAAAAGTGGAAAAAAATTGTGTTCTCTTTATTGGCAACCCACTGTATTAATTAAAAATAGGAAGACCCTCCACCTACCGTGAAACACCAACTTAACCAGCTGCACAAATTAATAATGCCTACAGGAAAAAAAATCGGATATAAGTCATTCACATTCAAAGGTCCACTTATCTTCAGGTGTACTTGCTGGTATTAAAGAACAGATGCTGACCTATCGTTGCTCGCGAAGCGAGGCCGAAGGCCGCGCGCAGTGAGGTTTATAAATTCGCCGCACGCGCAGCGCATAATCATGATAACTAGACAATCAAGTTTGATCTTTCATTACGACATTTTAAGCAATTTTAACCAAAACGAACTTTGAAAAAGTCCACGTTCCTTGTTGGCGCAACGGATGAGAGGCAAATTAGTTACATTGTACATTCAAATTAGCCTGTGAACAGGCCCTCCGTTTTGGGTGAAGGCGGCCTAAAAAACGCGAGCAGACGGAGGGAGCTTCGTTCACCGAAGTTTTTCTCCTTTTCCTCACCAAGGAGTCTGCTTCCAGGCTACCTTGTGCCAGAACTGTTACCTAGTTAAGACCCCCATAGGGCCATGGCCCAAGTCGGCGACCGGCAAATCGCAACATTTCAGGTGGTGGCTTCCGGATGGCTCGACACTAGTTTCTCTTAAGAAAACGCGGCCTAGGTCCTGAAATATCAATTGCTTCAGTTTAAGGCGAATCTATAGCAGCGCTACAGTCATGATACTATATCAATTGCCTCAGAAATACAATAGCTAACAACTTAATTCAGTAGATCTCACCTATTGTCACATTAAATTTCATGTTGTATCCATAGTCAAATCGAATAATGCTGAGGTAGAATACATGACCACAGTAAACACACAATAGGAATAGTCCAACACAAAAACAGCTGCAAGGAATAACAACAACAAACATTGAACATGATCCGAAGTTGAGTTTTTAGACCTTTTGAAATTACAAAAAAAACTTTTAACAATAACTGAGCGAGTTGTCGTGCGCTGATTGGTTGACAGTTATGATCGATGATAGTCAGACCAGCCCCTTCCCCCTCCCCCTTCCGAGTCAGACCACAGAAACGAAGTGATGGTGGCGCAACTTGTTTTTCTCTTTCTCGATTTTCCAAGAAACTCCAACAGAAATGGACGCTTCAAACTATCCATGTTTTCATGGTCTTTACTCTTATCGACCATAGAAACTATGTCAAAATGTTCAATGAAAACTTTGCAGTGAAACCACTCGCTTGCAATTAGTGGTTCCACTTGAGTTTTGAAGATTTTAATATCATTTCAATGGTCGATAAGAGTACAGACCATGGAAAATTCTTGTCAGGGTTCTACCTAGGGTATTTGAGGGCTAGAAGCTTCCCCCAAAAAAAAAATGCCCAGTTTCCGCCCCCCCCCCAAAAAAAAATATATATATATATATATATTGTTATCATTACAGTATATGTAACTATATCGGAAATATCATCCAGACGCGACGAGGTCAGTGCAGACACTAACATTTCTCAAAATTGTGTCTCAAAATGCACCAAACTGCATTCCAGCATATATTCATTTCAAAAAAATTCCGGGGGACATAACCCTGGACAGCCTCGTCCACAGGGCTTTTGCCTAAAAAAAAAGAGCCCGCAGACCCCCCTAGGAAGCTCGTGGCCTTCGGCCACCCTAGACTTCTCCCCAAAACGATAAATCCTGGATAGAACCCTGCTTTTCGATTTGTTTATAAGATTCTAAGACGACGTCGACAAGGACAAGATTTCCGACATTTTCTAAATACTAAGTACGGTGCACGTGCGACCCGCGTCATTTTGGCGGGAAAACATGTCGTCAGGTAGTGTCGGAAAGAAGTTATCAACCGTGTTAACTTTTCTGGTGAAAAATAGCAAAATGAAGCTTTCCAGGGTGTCTAGTTTTTGAAAATACACGAGAAAAAACTATTAGTCAAATCTAGTTCTCGTCCTCGAATTTAAGGGTCTCTAAAAAGACCAATAAAAAACGTCTTAAAAGAGCAGCCTCCAAATCGAACTTAAATAAGGCACTAGCATGAGATTAAGTATTAGAGACGTTGACTGCATGTTTACTGGTACAGTCGACTCTTGGCAACTCGAACCCTCTTTAACTCGAACCTCACTTAAATCGAAGTAATTTTCAATTCCCTTCAGATCATTTTCCAGAAAATTTTACCCTCGATAACTCGAACTCCCAATAACTGGTACTTCTTTTTATTTCCCTTGAATGTTCAAATTATTGGGAGTCGACTGTAATATAAATATAATTAATAACAATGAGCCAACAATATTAATTATGTTGTCATTGATAACACCTACCGGACTTTATTCTTGAGCCCAATAAACCTTTTAAGCAAAAATAAAACAAAAACACCGTTTTCGATATTATAATTTACTAGTCACAAGTCTAAGTACTGGGTTTGTTACCGGAGACAATCAATGCAGATTATAATAAAGTCTTTAAAAATTAGTAATCTGGCTACACCATACAGGGTATTTCTCCCTGTGATGAAAACACTTTTTTAAATAGAATAACACAAAGGCTAAACAAAAATCCATCCATAATAGAGTACAAAATTAAATGAGGATAATGTATATCTGAATGGTAACAAATTACGATTTTGTCCAGAGATGTAAAAGTTAAAGTCACAAATCAGTAAATCTCCCCATTACGTGAGGGACTTAGAGAGAATTGTTCATAATGACTGATGAAGAGTGCCAAATATCGCCTCATGTAAAGGAATGTATAGACACTGACAGCCTTGGATTCTGGATTCCACGCTGTGGATTCCGGATTACGGATTCCACAAGCAAAAGTTTCCCGGATTTCCTTAGCTGGGGAACCAAATGGTATACACTGTATAGCTGTTTGAGTCAAGCACATACCTCATTAAACAAGCAAAGAATGAGTACATTACCAGGGATGTGGCACAGAAGTAATCCATTTTCTTTAAAAAAATAATAAAATAAATATCGGTACAGTTAAAGTTCCTTACAACAGACACACTTTAGGAAGAAACGAAGTGGCTGTGGGGGAGATTTTAAAACAGCAAAGAAAGTATCTGCTGGGGTGCACAAAAGTGGCCGTTGTGTGGAGGTGGCCATTAGTATAGACTACGAGTAGTCCCCCATTTTTCCTCAGGCATGTTAGAGCAAGCGAAACGCGAGCGCGCGTGAAAATCACCCCACGAGAGAAAAGTATGAAGGGTTCAAATGTAATAATACGATGTAATTAGAGCACAGTTTTCATATTTTTGTTTCCAGCAACAGGAATATGTTTGGTTTTAAACTGCATACACACAAGTATACATATGACCCCCATCCCCTTCCCCCAACATCGTCAATCATCATCATCAATCCAAGTAACTTCAGTGTTTTCGTTAGCTGACCACTGTGGAACTATAAAGTTGAAGTAAATGCATTGACTAAGACACTGGGTTGTGCAGAAACAACAACAACCAACTATTTTATTTGCCAACTTAAAAAATGTTTACAAAGAGAACAGAATTAAAATAGACCAGGCAAAAAACTACTCAGAATACAAGGCAAAACAAACCAGTCTGTTTATTACGGAAAGGTGGTAGTATATATTGTAAATCATCAGGATAAAAAAAAAAATAACAATATATTTTTTTTTACTCGTGAGTAATTAAGGCAAATACCTTATAAGTAGTAGGTAATACTACAATATAATATTATTTACCTCAGTCCAGTTTAAATCACGAGTATGAAAAACTGCTGACCAGAACCAAGCATTTAAACTAACCTGCAATTAAAGTAATTATGGTTTACTGTGAAACTTTGGAAACTGCGGACACAACGAAAAAAATTCTGGATAGTTTTCTGAGTTTGACAGTAAAGTTATGATTATGTTAAACACTTGAATCAAAAATAAAAATCAGCCATGAAGTTAATCCAAAAAATTATACTCCAGTATTGTTTTTAAAATAGGCATGTAGCCATTTAACTACCATGAGAGGTAAATTAAATATAATTCACTGAAATTTGAGCCTTACCACTAGATTCATTTTCCAAACTAGAAACATGCTGTAGTCTGTGTTTGGAACAGCAGATCTGAGCATCCTCCAGCCAAAAATGTGCCCAACCCCATTGAAAATTGAAAATAAAACTGAGGCAGGTTCTTGTATGCCAAGAAATCTCACAAATGGCCACTATAAATCAATCAAGAAAATGAATACATTAATTTTCAATACATTACAACATAAAACTTTGTCAAAATATTATTATGGGGGAGCAAGGACATGGGGCAGTGGTGAAAGCACTCGCCTAGCTCCCACCAATGTGCCCCAGGTTTAAATCCTGGCTTCAACACCAAATGTGGGTAGAGTTTGTTGGTGGTTCTCTCACCCTTGCTCGACCAAGAGGTTTTTCTCCACTCCAAGACTACACTGTACATATACTCCAGTTTTCTTCCTCCTCAAAAACCAACATCTCAATAAGGAATGGTAGACAAAGAGCCACTATTTGGATGTGCTACTGCTAATTTCATATTAGTTCATTATTATTATTTTGTTCATATTTTTATTATTCATTATTTCATTATTTATTTTATTGTTAATAGTACTACATGGTTCCAAGTAAAATCAAAAATAAATTTAACATGGAGGATAATTGGCTATTGCTAATGTTTTATCAATACAGGTATACATGTAGTAGAACAGTAACCACTCATTGATAAAAGTAATTGCTCCAGGTTTTCAGAGCATTATTTCTTATTACTGATCACATGAAATTTGTGCAATATAAATAGCATCACTAGTATTTAAATGCAAATTTCAGAATGATTCAAAATCGGAAATTACCTTGCCATAAAACTGTTTGATTGGATAATTGAATTTTACATCTGTTGCTGTTACATTATGCATGCACTGGTACTTGCATTCATCAAGACAATCCCACCAAAATATCCTCAGATACAGCGGCAGCTTGCCAGGATATTCATTAAGGTGGCATCCACGTCGTTTGCAGCTCTTTACACAGTTACGAAAAGGGAAACTCCTGTCTCCTTTTGAGCACTTAACAGGAACGTGGAACAAGACCATTAAGACAGCAATACTTTGAAGGTACATTGTACACCAGTCCTGTAAAAGTGATCGTAAGATTGGAAAACTAGAAGAAATCTAGAAGAAGAATGTGGTGCAATTCCCTCACCCCCAAACCCACGAAGCCAGTCTTGAAGTGCAAGGGATTCAGAGAGGTGAGATCAGACCTCTGCACATAAAGGTGCACACTACTACTACTGCTGCTTAGGTCTATGATGATCCATCTCACCTTGCCCACCCATGATAATGTTGGTACCTGCAGACAGATCGACCATGGCAACCAGGTCTATGTCTTTAGATGGAGGGTGACTTGACTAGTCTTCTTCACAGCCATTTTTACGCTCATCAGACAACGCTGCTGTGTGACGAGCCTAAAAACCCCTGCGAAGGAGACTATGACTTGACTGGATCCTTGCCCATTGGGTAAGTGAGCTTTAAAGACTAGTTACTTACTCAGTGAGAAACCTTATTCATCCTGACTACTGGACGCAACTTTTTTTGAGCTTTGCCCTACTGATGAGATTTTCTGAGTGGGTCAACACTTATGGAGAGAGATTTTTCTGAAGAGGATTGTTATAAAAAAAATACCAATTTCTGAAGGCTGAAAATACCACAAATAAATTTCTGAAGGAATAAGGGAAGTGTTACGTCATTCATAATTACAGGGATGGTGTCAATACTGATTCTTCTGATGAAGAGTCAGTGCTCTGAGTGTACTTTTTTTTTCTGATTGGGACAAATAACATTGCCATATTTTCTGGGGGGTAGGGAACAGAAATGATACTTTTGTTCAGGGCTTCTAAGAAGAAATGTTAATTTCTGAAGGGGGTTACCCCAGGGAAAATTTTCTGAAGAGGGTACTGCCAAAACACCTCATCAATGTAGGGGGGATATTAGATTGCCCCCAGCCCACTGGCATAGGTCGATTGTGACAACAATAATCTATGGGCAACAAGTAAAAGAATTATACTAACTCATTTATTATTTATTGTTATCAAGCTTAATTAAGCTTATTTTTATCAACACACAAAGTGAGTTTCCACAACCAAAATTCGGGCGGCTACTCCTACATACAAAGAGAGCAAACTATGGAAGTGGGCGTTTGAATAGTTTTGTTAATAGAAATACATGGTTACCAACCTTATTACTGGGATAAAATCCTTCCTCAAAAACCTGAGCTTACGAACTTTTTCCTTCTTGTCACGCCATTCTCCTGATCCGAACCCAGCTGAAACCGGAAAGTTCACACAAAATGTATTTTCACGTAATTATCAGGATCTCGCCGATCTGAAGACTAGAGGGTTCAGCTATAAGAAATATGCATGACTGGCTACATAAAGCGTCATTCACTGATAAAAAAAGAGTGAGGCTAAAGGCAACATCCCTCACAGTCGAACAGTCACTGTCACTGAACTATTGAACTCTTCATCCCGCAAGAGAGACCTGGGGACGATTTTGCTACCAGTCTCCTCTGCTCATGTAAACAACGCCTGACGTTTTTCTTCCAGTTCCTTCATAATTATGTAACCAGTCGTTGCTGAACTACAGTTCATGTAGTTTCAATGGCGTTATTTAAAGGTTAAATACATGGCTTTCACCTTGGTTACTACTTGGAGATTACCAGTAGCTTGCCTTTCGTCGAGTTTACAGTATTTCTTTGCGAGACGGGCGATTTGCCGCTCAAGGTTGGTGAAAAGTGAAGTCAGTGAAGTGACGACAGTGAATAGCAACAGCTGATAGGTCCAAGTGCGAAAGTGCTACAATTTCTCAAGCCCTTGGCGGTCGTTTTCCTTGCTCTTATCAAACGTTTGGCGCTCCTCCTCTGCTCTTAAAGTGTATTCTTTGTTCAAACAGCCGCAAGCCGGGGAAGAATTTTGTCATTTCTTCTTGCAAAGTGTATATTCGATGGGTCATTTGTTTGCAATTGTTCTTTGTGTTTTTTTTAGCATGTCAGGCAATTCAAATGGCTCCACTACCGGCACTCACCTGGAAAGAACAGAGAACTTGGAAAGACAGGAGGTAATGAGCTGAGGTTAAAGAATAGTGACATGATATTCCCTTTTTTCACACAGAGAGGTCTCAAAAATTTAAAGCTATTTTTGGCATAGAAGAGGGTCGTACAGGGGGGGTCTCTCGCACGGTTCACGAACAGAAAAAACAGCGAATCATGGATCACGGCTATCAAAATTTCATTTTCCCGAATCACGAAAATAAACAAGTAGGGTACTCGTTTTAATAACCTTCTCTTACGGTAGAAAGAGTGTTTGAAGAAAGCAAAATCGTTAAAGGCTAAGTAAAGGCTGCTTATCGGAAATCACATACCTAAATCACCCTCGATGGACGACTCTGACCATTCGTCCACTTCGCTTTGTAACTGCCCGAAGAAACAACAAATCGTCTAAAGAATCTACCTCATAATTGTAAGCAATAGGATGTTCAGCGTCTGAGTCAGTGTCATACTCTTCCTCCTCCTCTACCTCGGCTTCCTCTACTACTTGAACATCTTCAATGGCCTCGTGCGATGTAGAAGGCGTAACAGTCGTAATGGTCGTAGCAGAAGTAACCATCTCCTCTTCGACAGTGTTAGGGCTGAATGAGACTTTATCTTTAGGATAGTCTGATCTTCTGTTCCTTTCCAAGAAAATTAAGCGAGCCGACGGACTTTGGGTCAACGTAAAATACAATACATTCGTTCCTCATCGTACTATACGTACTCGTCTATGGGGCGCCGTTTGTAAAAAAAATGATTTAGCTTAATTTTGTCATTTTTTTCGTTATTTATTAAATAAAGTTTTCTGATATGATATCATACGTCAATGATTTGATATAATAAATGTTGATTTCAAATCATGCGTTTATGATTTGATATAATAAATTATTATTTAAAATCATGCGTTTATGATTTGATATAATAAATTCTGATTTCAAATCATACCTTTATGATTTGATATAATATGTATTGATTTCAAATCATAAGTTTATGATTTGATATAATAAATCCTGATTTCAAATCATAAGTTTATGATTTGATATAATAAATCCTGATTTCAAATCATTCCTTTATGATTTGATATAGTAAATCCTGATTTCAAATCATAAGTTTATGATTTCATATAATAAGTTCTGATTTTAAATCATAAGTTTATGATTTGATATAATAAATCCTGATTTCAAATCATAAGTATATGATTTCGTATAATAAAAATCATTATTTGATATCAGTAAAACCATGATTTAATTTAATAAGTAATAAGTAACCGCGTGACTTGGCACATGGGTTACTAGAGCAGGAATAATCGCAAAGATGGCGACACAACCAGATCAGGTATCGGGGTCAATCGCTTCTGCGGTCCCTAGAGCTGTAGAAAGGGCGGTTGACCAAGCTTTGGCATCTCTTCCGAGCCTTCCTGGCAATTCAGGGTTTGCTCCTGCGACACAAGAGGTATGTAACATTGATGTATCACTGCTAAAGCATCCCAGTCGCTGCCGGGGTGATGACCTGTGTGTCGATGTGATTAACAAAAACATCATTAGTGATGTCTTCCAAGCGCCTCATCTATTTCTTACATGTTGCACTGCATCATTAGTTAAGTTGCATGTTAAGCGGAAAGCTATGACTTTATTTACGAGATTTTTCATCACCCCGGCAGCGACTGGGATGCTTTAGCAGTGATACATCAATGTTACATACCTCTTGTGTCGCAGGAGCAAAACCTGAATTGCCAGGAAGGCTCGGAAGGGATGCCAAAGCTTGTTCAACCGACCTTTCTACGGCTCTAGAGACCGCAGAAGCAATTGACCTCGATAGCTGATCTGCTTGTGTCGCCATCTTTGCGATTATTCCCGCACTAGTAACCCACTAGCCTGCGTTTAATTTTGTCTGCGCGCAGGCTAGTAACCCACGTGCCAAGTCACGCGGTTACTTATTACTTATTAAATTAAATCATGGTTTTACTGATATCAAATAATGATTTTTATTATATGAAATCATATACTTATGATTTGAAATCAGGATTTATTATATCAAATCACAAACTTATGATTTAAAATCAGAACTTATTATATGAAATCATAAACTTATGATTTGAAATCAGGATTTACTATATCAAATCATAAAGGGATGATTTGAAATCAGGATTTATTATATCAAATCATAAACTTATGATTTGAAATCAATATTTATTATATCAAATCATAAAGGTATGATTTGAAAAAATAATTTATTATATCAAATCATTGACGTATGATATCATATCAGAAAACTTTTTTTAATAAATAACGAAAAAAATCACAAAATTAAGCTAAATCATTTTTTTTTACAAACGGCGCCCCATACTTTGGATCACTGTCCTTTGACCTCCAGTGACATGGGAGACCATAGGCATAGGAATAGACATCTGATCCATGATAGGCATGTAAAGCACGTGAATTTGCACAATGGATTACTTTAATTAAAGCGAAGTCTGTTACTTGTCACATTTGATGTTTTCAGTCTTAAAATAAGTCTTCCGCAGCACTCACATCTCAAAATCACGCCAAATAGAGTGGTGAAATCACGAATATCGGTTAATAATACAAGTTCTTCACGGGTCACGCAAACCCTTCAGATCCCGGATCACGAAGAATAATTTATTAAATTCACGTTTCACGGAAAATAAAATCAGCCAATCCCGCATCACGGGAATACCCCTGTACGACCCTCATAGAAGCAATAGGCCATTTCCGGGTCCCCCCGGGCCTCTGTATCAAAACATGGTCACGCTAGTCACGCAAGACAATTTTTTGTGACAATCTATAAACAATGTACTTATTATACAAGATAATCATTTGTATATGTGAAAGTGTAATCATATGTTTTCTCTGCTGCTACTCTATGTACATTGTAGGTTATAGCCCCAGCTACTGTGACTGAAATAAGTCACTTGTCAGAAACTGTTAAAAGGTTGTGCTTAAAAGTTGAGGATGACAGGTTCACCTTCAAACCAGGACAATGGTAATTGATTATTAATTATTAATATTGAAGAATAATTATAGTAATAATTATTAGTAAGTTTTGTATTGATTAATCAATTATTTTAATACCAGTTCAAGAAATTATGAATTTTAGCAGTAAGATGAGATATCCACATTTGCTTTATAATTATTGCATTGTATCATTATAGTTTTCAAACAAATGTGCATTGAGAAACAAAATACATTTGCACAGCGTATGACAGATTTATTATCCTACTTAATAATAATTCTGCGACTAGCCAGCACTTCCATGATGATCAGATAGCTATTGTCGAGCTTTTGGAGAACCTACAATTATGTTCATGTATAGTTCCGTTCAAAAGTAAGTTGACAGTCCGTTGCGAGTCTCGATTCTCGATAATCTCGATTCCTGCGCGAATCAAGAATCGAGACTCGAGAACAAGCTATGGAGAATCGAGTCGACGATCGAGTCTGGCAGGACAAAAAACAAAAGATTCACCCATCACTGATTTCTTGAAAATTTTACAAAGACAATTACAGCTGTATTCACAACAGCATGGTTATACATATAGTGATTCACATAAAGCAACTGTTGCTCGAAACAAGACCGATTCAAGTTATAAAGGGAATGTTTCTTCAAGGACATCTGTATCATGTTTCATTTCCTCAAGTAAAGTTTCAAATGCCTGCTCCATAATTATGCAAACAAACAGTGTATACTCGTGTACAAGCAACAGCATCTTTATTTTGTAACGTCAAACGATTCTGGGCTTATCCGGCCACTTGGCTTGATAAAGATCAGCTGTAACATACACGTGCGTCCTTAACATGACTAATCTCTGAAACTGTGTTCGTGCTCCTTGAAAACTTTCGAGACAATGGTTCTAATTCTACTAGGAAATTTGGGTTTTCCTTAAGATTTGAGGTCTTTGAGATAATCTCTCTTAAAATTGGGCTTGTTTCTTCCACGATGGAACATGACAGGCGCAAAATGACTCCTGGGTTCAAACCTTTCACAGTTTTGCGACCTTTTTTGTTGCCTAGCACGTGACTGCAACTACCGTGATGAAAAATTGTGAGATGTTGATTTCAAAAGCGGACTGTATTGCACGAGACAAAATATTGTTTTCAAAGCTCTTGGACGTTTTGGAAGTTTTCTGAAACTTTACAGTCATGTATATTCAAATCGAAACTTTTATGTGGGCAATCACTTCTCATAAAAAGCAAAGGGCGAAATATCAAACGGAGATGCTATTGCGTATTGCAAAATTAAACAGCAATTCTAGTTCAAATTACAAGTAAAGTTTCCAGCGAAAAAAAACCTCAAAGTATATAAACGATAATCAGGCATTCAGCTGCGATTATGCCGATGGACATTCACAAACAGGCAATCGAAAAAATATCGGCAAGTAAAATTCGAAAGCAACGAGATGCCCCTTGAGACTTTGTTTACATATCGTCACGTATTTGTCATTTATTTGCACAAGCTGCCTTTTCCATGTATTTTGGATGTTACAGATAAAAAGTCATGAATTGCTTTTCGAGTTCAAATATTACGGACAATTTCTGCTATTTAAATGGTACAAAATGCCATTCGAACATTTTTTAAGATTTCGACGCAAAGTGCCACCCGAGCCGTGCGAGCAAATGTAAACGTCAACTGCTCCTGTATAATTGGGCGTCTGGAAAAGCGGGAAACCGGAATCCGGAATAGGAACGGGAATAGGAACAGGAACAAGAACCGGAACCGGAGTAGGAACCGGAATGGGAAGAGAAACCTAGTATATAAAGCAGGGACAACATTTACCTTAATTCAAGTTAATCTGGATTTAATTCCAATTCGGATTATATACGAAAAATAAGGGAAAAAGGGAATACGAACCGGATTAGGAAGAGGAATATAAACAGTGTATACGCCGTATTCACAAATGGCGGACACACGGGAAAAAACTGGTGCCTAGTCATGAAAGCGAGGCGTTGGAGGATAAACAAAAATTGCAAATGAAGACTTTCAGTGAACTTGCAGAGTGTTTAGCACGGATTCCACCTAAAATAACTTTGTACGAACTTCTTTTTAAATACAATTACGTGGGATGTCTTCTGCTTTTAATGTTTAGTAGTGATTTGCTGTTTGCAATCAAAAGGGACGCGTATATCTTCCAGGAAACAGGATGATTAATACCCTTTTTAAGCTGTGGACCATCTATCTCTGGTTAAGTTCCCAATTTAGCACAGTACAATATGTCTATGTAGCAAATCTAAGGTGTATGGCAGCCCAATAAACGTCTCCGATGGGTGTCTCGTTTACACATGGTCTGACAAATAATATTAACATGTTATGACCTCCTTCCTGTGAGAGACAAAAGGAACCTTAAGATCTGACAACGGCAACGCCAGCGAAAACGCCACTGAGAAATTGAATTCGGGTCTTAATTCAAACTATTTCTCATTAATTCCAAATTGTCCAGTCTTTTAAGGGTGGGAAATGAAGCTGGAGACCTCGTCCGAGCTCAGAAAGACACAATAAAATTTATTGCCTGCCGTTCACGTTTTCAAGAGAACTTAAGATTTGATCATTTACGTCGCAGTTGTGCATAGGCGGTGAAGAAATTGACAGAAAGCACGATGCACTCGCAAAACTGTTGCTTTACTTATTTAACTTGCGGCTTATCCTAACTTCTCGTTGCCGTAATATAAAGAGATTCGGGAGGCAGCATGATACCAGACTAGTCTTCTTATTTTTTGCATAAATTAAATTAGAATTAAAATAATTTAAAGGAAATGATGTCCCTGTTCTTGTATCGGTTCCCCTTTACATTACTCTTCCTGTTCCGTTGCAGGTTCCGGTTCCGGTTCCGGTTCCTGTTCCCATTCCCGTTCCTATTCCGGATTCCTGTTTCCGGCTTTTCCAGACGCCCGTATAATTTGCATACATGTAGTTCAGGAATTTCTCACAAGAATCAAACGCTGAGTAGAGTTTGTTATTTTTTGGAGTAGAAAGACTTTTTTGACTTGAGAGAGGTTAGAAGATGCTCAAAACTTGAACAACGGTTGTGGATTCTCGCAGCAATTGAGTATCGCGCGGAGAATCGAGAGCAAATTACTAGAAACAAAAACCCTTTTAATTGATTATAAACAAAGAGGCCATTTTGGTTGATAAGTCTCGCGGGAATTGAGAATCGAGACGCAACAATTGAGAATCGGTTCTCGACTTGATTCTCAAGAGGATCGAGAATCACGTGTCAACTTACTTTTGAACGGTACTGTAGGCTACTGTTATCCTGTTAATCCTATGATATTTATACCATATTACAAAGGGAGAGATTATGAGATGTAGCCCACTTAACAAACTCTGAGGAGTCATGGTTTTCCTATAGATTCGTCAGGAACAAATTACATATGTAATAATTGAAATCACTTCCTCATATAAATCTTTCATGCACCAATAATCTTCCCATCAGCCAATGTGGTGTTTGGAAAATATCCACCTATTAATTTTCTTTAAAATCAATTATCAAACCTTATGGATCAACCTAGTAAACCTCACTGAACACTTATTTTTTACCACCATCAGCTTTAATTATTTTGTTTTATTTTTCTTTTTACAGGGTTGATTTTTTTATTCCTGGCGTAGAAACTGTGGGTGGATTTTCTATCTGCTCCAGTCCCAAAACACTTAAAGACACAAGCACCATTGAGCTGGCTGTTAAATACAGTGATCACCCTCCCGCTCTTTGGGTACACACCAAGGTTTGTGTTTTATTATAAGCATTTGCCTTTTTTATGCTAAAGTATTGGTAAAATTATCAAAATTGATTTTCATTAATTTATTAGAAAAAGTCAGCCAATAAAAATATTAACACCACTCTCAAAGTAGAAGTGTTCATTGTGTAGAAGTAGACTCAGAGCACTTTCCGTTTGTCAGAACTGATCAGCTAGACCATTCCAGTCATAATGAGAATTTCACTTTTAATCAAAACTCTTAGTCAGATCCCAAATAGCATGCACGAAGGAAGAGGTGTTTCAAAAAAAGCTCTTGGAAAAAAGCATTTTTCATTGTGAAAATGAGTGGCCCAGCTATGGTCTGGCTGGCCAGTTCTGACTTTTGGAAGGTGCCCTCAGATTTAACTGTATTATTTTTCTATAAAACCTTAAACTGTTTATGACTGTATCTGTGTTATGTGGACTGCAGATACTTTCAATCAATAATATTATTTGTTTTTACATGTGTCTGTTTTTAACTGTAGTGCAACACTGGCAGCAAGGTTCAAATGAGAGTTGGTGGTAACTTTTTCTTTGATCCAGAACCTGGAGCTCCAAGCCCGGACTTGCTTCTAGTTGCTGGCGGAGTTGGTATTAATCCGCTTTATTCCATACTGCAACATGTTGGTGATATTACCAGCGATCCCCAGCATAATTATACTGCAAAAACAACGTTGTTATTTAGTGCAAAAAACCAAGATGAGCTGCTTTACAAGGTACAGAAACTAAATCAAAGTATTTCTCCTTGGTGATCATCATATTGATTCTCATAACCTTGTTTTTGGATGATACATTGATATTGTTTGGAGAAAATTGATGTTGATCAGTCTTGGGATTTAAAGTTTTGAGGGTCTGTAAGGGGTGTCCCAGTGATCCCACATTCCTGCTTCTCTTTTCGCCCCATGTAAGGAAATCCAGATTCTGGAATCTGAGAAAATTTTGCTTGCGGAATGCAGAATACGGGAAATTTTTGCACGTAGAATCCTGAATCCTGGGCTTTGGATTACGGAATACTTTCAAGGGATCCGGAATCCGGCTGACGATTGGAATGTGGAATCCAAGTTCCAGTGATAAAGAATTCTGAAAATAGTACCTGGAATCCGGAATCCATGGGGTGGAATCCAGAATCCAAGACTGTCTTGGATTCCCTTACTTGGTGCGACTCTTTGGTGAAAATTCCACATCCTGAACTTCTATTATCTTTATCCTGAATACGGTTTTCTTTCCTTATACTACATCCCATGCCAACATTTTAGCAAATCCCACTTCATGAGCAGCAGTCAAATGACGTATCCCGTCTAGAAATTTTGTGTTTTTGCGAATCCTGCTCTGTATTTTGGTCAAATCCTGGATCCCAAAAATACCCTTCAAGACCGTGCTGATATAATTTTACCCCCATCACAGTAATTCTCATTCCCTACCTTTCTAAAATTCTTGTGTAGAAGATTTTTACTGTAACGTAGCACAGCCCCTCACAGATGATTGTTAGCATTGTAACATTGTACCAGTGGAAACTGCATTCCTTTGTGATGATGCACTGTACTGTGTGCACTGATCAGGGGCGCTTTACATTCAACCTAAAATTCCGGAAAATTTGGTTGGTACATCAAATGGAATGGACCATTTCAGTTTGGTCCGACCAGAATATGCACGACCAGCTTTGAAGGTGGTCCACTTTGACCGGTCCTGTTATCTTGGTCAGTCGGACCGAAATGTCCCTTTCCATTTGACAAAATTGTTGTCCCCAGTACCACTCTTTTGTATCCTGCTTACAAGAACAATAACCAAATGCACGGTGGCTTGGGTTGGGTCTGTGCAACCGGAATGTACCGTTCTATTGGGCGTGTGGAATTTCCGAAATGTCAAACCAGAATTTTGGTTGCATGGAAAGCGCCTCAGGGCTACCACCTTCCCCCAATTTATGAAATAATTTGCATCCTCGTCAAAACAAGGCTGCAAATACCGTAAAATTCTGAAAATAAGCCAGGGGCTTATATTTTTCAAAGGCCCCTTTTGAGGGGCTTATTTTTGGAGGGGCTTATCTACGGAGGGAAATTTGCATTTCAAAATCGATTGGGCTAGCCATATAGTTGGAAGTAAATTTACCGTTTTTGCTTTGTTTTACTTTGTATTTGATTGCAATTTTCCAAGTACAAGCCCCCGGGGGCTTATATTTGGAGGGGCGATTTAACGGACAGTTTTTTGCATTACCATATTGGGGGGCTTATACATGGAGGGGCTTATTTTCGGAATTTTACGGTAACAGAAAACATCACTGATGAAGGGATCGAGATGGATTCCAAAAGCTCCACATAACTTTCAAGAGTTTGTTGGCGTTGAAAAATATCTTCTTTTGAACTGTATTCGTACTGTATATTACTATTAAAGTCCTGATCTTTGTTGATAATTCTACCTTGTAATACTTACTGTAATTTTAACTCATTGCAGAATTCTCTTTTGCAAATTTCTAAACGACACCCTTCAATAGTCTGCAAGTATTTTACCACAAAGCCAGGAAGTGACAATCAAAGACCTGCAGCAGAGAGTATACAATGTATGTAAACCTTTGCAAAAACATACAAAATGTACTTTGAGTGACTGTTGCTAGCAATGCTAAATCCTTTACTTTGCTCTCAGTGCTCTGACTGACAGGCATGACATGGAAGGGATGTGGACATGCAAATGCCGTTTTCAATCTATTTCTAGATCCACATGATTAAAGGATAATTACAGGATAATTATCCTGTTATCTTACTTATGTCTTCAAAGTAACCAAATTTCTACGTCATGAAAGCGCCTTAAATCCTCCATATACCATTTCAATCTACTCTTGTGTTAGTTTAAAGATAACTTTTCAAAACACTTTTTGCATTAAGTCTTTTTTTTTTTTTCGCATACAAAGACTCCCTAAATCACTATCAAAGATCCAAAATCATTTGCAAAGTTTGTTGCTGGATTACTACTATTCCTGCATTGGCAAAACAAAGTGACGACTCCGTGATCAGAAGACTGAACACTTGACTGCAAAATGACCACACTTCCCAGTCAGCTATTGCCAACATTGTCAAAACCCCAGCGTCAAGAAACTTCAAGTGGGATCATTTTGAAATTTCAGCTTCAGGCAAATCAGATTATCACTGCAATATAAGAGACACATTGTATACGCAGCTTTAAATGTCAACATCAGCAGTGAAAATCTGATGCTTTGTTAATGCATTTTCAGGTCACCATGGTCGTATAAGCGACACGAGTCTCAAAGAAGCCGTGTCTTCCCTGGACAGAAGTCAGCTAACTTGTTATATCTGCGGTCCGCCACCTATGATAAAACATGTAACTGATATTTTACACAGGCTCAACATTGGAGACAGCAGAATACACTTCGAAAAATGGTGGTAGCCAACAGCTTCCAGCCATACAGCTTAAGAAGGAATCCATCAGGAAATTGAGTAATTTTAGTTTTCAGTGGAGAAAAACCTTGTGCCAGAAAAATGTGAATAATATCGCATTCTTTTTTTACATTTAGTTACATTTTTCTAGGCCTTAGGGCTATGGATATAATTAACAATTATTCTTTGAAATCGAGGTGAATAGTGGCAAAATATTTACCGAGCCGCGAAAGCGGCGAGGTAAATATTCCCAAAGCCACTATTCACCGAGATTGAGAAGAATAATTGTTTTAGTATATACACACGAAGTGATCTCAACAAAATCAGAAAGGAAACCATTCAAAAGTAGGATTTGATTGACAGATCAAATCACGCGTAAGTTTAAAAATAGATCTTTGCAGAATTTTCAAACATGGCAATTCACAAGTTTACTTATTTCGCAAACAACAGCGTAATGGCTTCAATGGAATCGCTAAAAGTTTGAACTGTTTCCTTACCTGAGAAAAAAAGTAGAGCTGTGTTGTTTTCTGTTGACTCGCCAAGTTTATAGCCAAAAGGGCATGTTGTGTCGTTCTTCGCATGAAGTGCTGACAAAAATGGCGGCTCGGTTGCTCGAGGTAAGAGGTCGTCTTCCTGTATTATTCTTTTTCCTGTTTACTTGAAATGTAGAATTTCTGCAAACATTTCCTTTTAAATTTGTTTGTCATAAATAAACTTCGATTTTTGAGCCAAAATTTTCTTCTTAGAAAACGCTGAGTTCACGGGAGTTGTAAACAATCCATCGAGCACAAAACTCCTGATACAGTAAATTGAAAAACGCCGTATTGAATCCTTCCAAGTCTTTTCTTGCCTTAAAAAAAGTCAGCCCTAGGATTTTGTCGACTTTTAAAAGATCGTTCTCTAAAAAAAACGGGAAAAACACCGAGCTCACACATTATCCACTCGCTAGGAGGTGAATATTGTTGAATAGTCCGAGATAGCGAACCAATCAGATTGCTTAAATCACCAAGATCACTGAGTGTGTATGTACTAATTAGTTATATGTAATAACACCTAAGACTATTTCGCCTACGGAGCCCGAGAAAATAGATGTCAAATAGCTTCAAATTTCACAAGAATTATGAAAACACAGGTAAAATTCTGAAAATTTCATGTGTAAGACGTCATTTTGTGAAATTTGACATTAATTTATTTTCTCGGGCTCTCGTAAGAAATTTTCTTTGGTGTTATTACAGATAACTAATTACATCTATAGCCCTTGAAAAATGTAAAAAAGAATGCAATATTGTTTAAATTATTCTGGTACAAGGTTTTTGTCCAGTGAAAATTAAAATTACTCAGTTTCCTGTTGGATTCCGTCTTAATGCATGTAATATGCAATTGCCTTTTACAGTGTGGTTCCTGCCCAGGTTACAAAAACCTCCTCGAATTAGTATAGGTAATAGCATGATTTGTAATGATATTTGGTATAAATACCACGAGTGATATTTCAAACTCCCATGCTATCCTAAATTTGGAATAACAAATGTAGCACTCTGGGTGATTTTTTGATGATTTGTGGTTGGTTTTTGAATAGAGAGGTGAAGTCGTTGAAGTTCTGAATTTTTTTCCAGGCTTCTTTACGCAATTGCATAAATTGCGTTCACTTTGACCATCATTTCTTCATTTTCATTTCATTTCCGCAGTTCATATATGGCATATATCATATATCATTAACACTCATTTCTTTCACGGGAACATATGAACCCACAATTGACCCGCTCCCAACGTCAGTGGCTTCATAGCTCAGTTGGTAGAGCATCGCACCGGTATCGCGAGGTCACGGGTTCAAACCCCGTTGAAGTCCTGAATTTTTTTTCTTTACGCAGTTGCATAAATTGCGTTCACTGCGACGATCATTTCTTCATTTTCAGAAGTCGTTATGTCAACAAACCGTGGTCCTGCAAAAATGGCGGGAAAAAATTGACATGTGTAACTTTCCTTTGCATGATTGCACTCAGGAACAAAACCAGGGGGGACTCCCATATGAAACAGACGGGGATGCTCGTCGGAAATTTTGAATTTAACCCCTAAAGGAGACCATCTGGGCGTGGCTCAAGCTTTTTGCGACCTCTAAAGGAGACCAATCTGGGCGCGGCTTAAGCAAATTTTGACCCGTAAAAGAGACCACTTAAAAACACACAAATACGACATGCAATGAGTTTTAATGATATAAAGACATAACAAACAAAGTTAAAAAGAAAATTTGACTTCTGTTTCTCTTCGCGTAATTCTGTGTTTTTTCGCGGAACCCTAAACGAGACCTGGGCGGCTTAAACATATTGGCGCTTTGCCCGGAACACCCTAAGCGAGACCAAAATCCAAAATTTACACCCCTAAGTGAGACGACGAGCATCCCCGTCTCTTTCTTATGGGAGTCCCTCCCCGGAACAAAACGGTAGCCCATACTTTTCTTCCATCGTTTACAAACTGACTGACTCTGTCAAAAAGATTTTTGAGATCCAGAAATTCCACTTCTCTCTATGGCAGTGACCAGAATAGAAGCTAAAAGAGCGAGGTTAGATAACGATTCAAAATTTATGAAACGACAAAGAACCTGCTGCTGATCAGCGAATTTATCAGCTAATTTTTTTTGTGGATTATGAGAAGAATAGTATTTTTCGATAGTTATTTCACCTCACAAATCAATAAAAACACATAGTTCAGTAAAATAATTTGCTTGGGCTCCCTATGGACATGGGACATTAATTTCAAAGACAAAATTAAGCCGACAGAAAAAGTAACAAGGAAAACATTCATTAAGGACTTGTAAATTTTGGGGCTTTTAACTCCTCTGCCAGAAATGAATGCTGTACAAGTGGGTTACGTATTAGATGTCAATAGTCACGAGAGCAATGTAAAAAGAATAAAAAAATATAGCACAAGAAAATTGTCAGCGTTTGATGAATGTACTGTTAAGGTTGTTCAGTCTCAAAGCGTAAATGATTCATGTAACTGATTTTATGTGAAAAATGTAATAAAAAGGACAAACTTGTGACATATCTACCTTCGTAATTTTCAAAATTTTAATTTTCTTGGAAGTTCCAATTAAGTCTTTAATTTTTAATTTATTTACAATCCAGCCGAAACTAAAGACCAAACTATCTAATCAACCAACCAAAGCAGCAGTTGGTGTGAGCGAGGACAAAAAAGCATTATGCATTTAGTCGAGAATGACCAAAGGTTCAAATACTAGGTGCCAGACTGAATTTGCGCAAATTACCGGCTTTAGTTTTTGGGTAGACATGGCCCACCTCTTTACTGCAATTTACATCATCGTTTGTTGCCTTGTGCTCGAGTTAAACGAAGGTAAGTTCCGCAAACATTTTCAAGGGTCAACTGACTTTTACTGTAAGGGTTCATATTACTTCTGTGTCGCTGCCTTCAAATTTCGAAGCATTCAATCACATGCAGAATCAATATGTTGAAAGTTAGGCCAACCGTGTAATCAAAACTATACCGAATAAAAAGCCGTTTATATAAAATGTGGAAACGACGCCACCCTAGGATTTAAATGGACACTGAGTAATTCTTATCACTAGGAAGCAAAACGAACTCCAAGTAGGTTTTCAGTAAAATAACCTTAGAGAACTGTGGCCATCTTCTGTAATCTTGGATGATGACTGCTCATCCAAGATTACATCTGAGATGAATATCACGTAGGCTGAAGTCTACTTGGGCAATTGAATTTGAACAAGGATAAAAACACATTTGAATATTTGAAAAACAGTATGATTTTAACATGTAACGCATGGAAGTTACAATTCCTTCCTCTGGCCGGCCCCATATATATATATATATATATATATCACTGGTGGATTCTCCAGCGTAAATTAGTGAAAATATCCCTACAGTCTACAATACGTTTTGGATGACATCTGTGACATTTTCCCGGCCACATGGATTTTAAGAAAAGCCAACCCATCTGCTTCCCCTTAAACTTTTAACACAGTCTTGGTCACCGTCGCAAATAACGATCGTATGGAAAGTGAATAACCAAGGCCTTTCCCGCTTTCCGATGCGTTTAAAGGAAATGCATTCATAAGCGGTAGTTCT